TCACATAGCAGACAAATCCGGTTCTCTCACAGGAACAGTCTCCTAACAGCCGCTCTGATATTCACGTCTGCAGACGCCTAACTTTAATGCCACTTATCACTGAATGTATGCACTGGAGCAGTTTCAGAGCCGGGGGTGAATGCAGTGTCACACTGATAGTGTCTATGTGTAATTAACAGCCTCGACTAAATGGGCAGATCCATTCTGCATACTGATTACTGTAGCAGAGTGAAAACGCATGAAATAGCTGTTTTTTGTTCTCTTTTCTTCTGCTGTGGTTACATCTAAGTGTATTTTGTTAAACGGTTGAGTGAAAGTGAAAGAGGAGTGAAAAACTGATTCATTCCCCCCGCAAAAAAGCCACTCTGCCTCAGAAAGGTACCTTTTACATTAATAAAATTAAATGCATTACACTTAGAGAACAAAAGTACTTTTTGGCTGTTATAGTTGTGACATTGCACTTTGCAATAGAAACTCAAATGAAAAGGTGGCGGTAAATATAAACACCCTGCGCTTCCTAAATAACTGAACACCCATGAATTTCAGATCAGAGTTAGTCTCTCTGTGTTTCTCTGAATGGCTTTAAAGCCTCTTGGCGCTCATCCATAAATAATGGTGTGTTTTGTTGAAGACCAAGAAAGTGTGGCTTTTCTAAGCAAATCTTATGCTTAGCAAGACACTTTTGGAGTGGCGGCTTTGCTAAAGATCACGCTTAATCTCCCATTCAGATTCAATTTAGGGAGGTTGGGAATAAAGTGTTCCCTGTAGTGTCCGGGAATTGAACTTATCACTCTGAAAGTTTTAGAGAAATTACAGTAAGAGCTGTCTGCAATTTATTTGGACATTACACGGGCAAATAAAAAGGTGTTTGGTGCATTTACAGTAAGAGGATCCTGCCTCATGTGATTTGTTAAAAAGTTTGCCACATCAGTAGCTGCTGGCATTGCTGAGAAATTCTTGCTCATGCTTTATATTACTTACATGTTTTAGCTTGCACGAGATAAATGCCACGTTCGCCTTTCATATTTTCAAACTATTGGTGTCTGGGGAAGGAATACAACCTCCAATTTTAGTGGCAATGGTTCTGTTGCTGCCAATCCAAATGATACAGTACCTGCACCTCAGCAGACAAACCACAAAACCGCAGCGAGACGCTGAAGGCCTTTCCAAAGAAATGTCAAACTCAAAGATTGTCACTCCAGTTTTTCCAAATAGAACGTACGCGCTCGTCTTCATTTGGCTTTTTATCCACGTTAAAGAGGATTCAGAAAGAAACAAATGATTTTCTCAATGAAAACTGTTCATCACGGAGTGCTCTGTAAAATGATTATCATCGATCCACAGGAGAAGAGTCTCTGACCATTTTCCTGGACAAGCAGAAGCTGAATAAGAAGTCCGAAGGCAACAGCAACAGCTCAGTAGTGTCTTTGGAGCTGCTCCATCAGCTGGCCGCTTCCTACTTCACAGATCGAGAGAGCACCCTGAGGCGACTGCACCACCTCCAGATTGCCACCTCTGCTATTAAGGTACTGTTCACATTCACGCAGCAAATGCACCTGGAGCACATGCTCAGATGTATAGTCTTTGATTTACTAAGAAATTAGTTTTCAGTATGAACCATGTATATGCAAATGTGTGTTTCTGAGTGTTTGCATTTCTCTAGATTCAAAAAGAGTTACGGGAAAAAAAGGCCCCCCAATTTACCCTTCTTTTAAACTTTTCCTTTCAAATTGCTTGCTCCATGCTCCACCTAAAATAAATGCCTCTAACAAGCAATCTTTTTTTAAAGCATATTTTCAAGGTGTGTCGTTGCTCAAAAGCTGGCAAGAGATGAAAGCAAGTGCACAAGATTTTTCAAATGTAGCAAGCTGGTTTAAAAGGACAGTGCATGTGCTATAACCCACAGAGGCACCGGAGCATGGCAAATGTCAAGTCCGGATGTGAAAAGCAGCACATTCTCACGGGCTGCAGTGTGGGTGCATGCATCTGGATCACACAAAGGGTTAAAAACACAATTATCATAATTCCTTTTCAAATAAAGCTGTTTGATTTTAGCAACGAAGTGGCTGCGACTGTCAAACTTGATTTTAACACACTCTTACAGCCAAGTTCATTTTATTTACCTGCACACTCAACACTTGATGTGATGAGTCGTCACTTAGCCAAAATCCACCTCTGGGCTTGTGCAAGCTCTTTAATTGCGACGAGGCTCAGTTTTGTTGAAAACACACTCAAAAACACAGTCAAATAAATCCTATTATCTCCTCTCTGCCTGGTTTTACCTTCCCAAATCCCCTCCCTTCCAGACTGGAAGCAAAGCTTAACCGAGCAATGCATTTTTCACATCAGAACAAATCTGTTGGCTTTCGCTTGATGACAGCAGGTGTGTGGGTGGGTGGACGATGCCTTCATGCTTGAACTTAAATATGAAATCTGATTGAAATGAGTAATTGCAAAGTGTCAGCCTTGTGCGTACCTTGTGCGAGGTGGCTCCTTTCCAAGCACAGTCGCCGAAAACACGGCATGCAGAGGTGAGATTGGCTCTCAGACCTTTTTTGGCTGCCAACAGTCTTTTTAAAACAGACCCTGAAGTACTTGATTGCTCTCCCAAAAAGCCTCGAATGGTTGTGCACAAGAACCGGGCAACACAAAGGACTCCTGGACTTATTGCAAATAGCTTTTACTGGGAGAGAGAAAAGTTTGATTAGTATAAGGGCATGAAATGGAATTTTAATGAATGAGACAAGTTTGTTTAGCTAAAGGCAATCTCAATGAAAGCAGCATCAAAACAAACTTCCCTACAATGCAGGCTTGGTCAAAAGAGATAACCTCTGCGTGCCTACAGCTTTTATGTTTATTGACACGGTTTATCCCGGCGAACCGTCGCTTTAGAACGTGAGCAAAATTAAAACAAAGGAATTTTCTTGCTTACTTAAGTATGCAAAGTACGAGCGCTGCATCTCACCACTGCAGAAAAGGCTGCTAAGCTTGAATTAATTATGAACTGAAATCTTTGCTCAGCGTGATCCGTTTGTGCTGGGGGAGGCTAATGAGTGACTGGCGCACTGAAACAATCCGTCAGCTTCTGCAAAGAAGTCCACAATGGCAGATAAATAAATTAGTAGCGACCGTTTAGATCTGTTTTCCACATCAGTTAGTCTGCCTTCAGTCCATCCAGTGATATTCTGTGAAGAACGCGTCCAGAACCCAACTGCTTCTCATGCATATTGAACTGCATTCCTACAGTCACGTATCAGTCATGTATACAGCCAGCTTGCTGTATTTGGTCTGATTCAACAAAATCATTAATGCAATTATTGGAGTTTCAGAAGAATCGATATGTAGTCAAATATTTGCCGAGCGGTATGATTAAAGTAAAAACAAAGTTTGAGCTCTATTTATCTATGCATGCTCAATCATCCAGGTAAGTAAATCTCCAGAAGTTGATTCTGTTCATCTGGACGTAGCGTAGCTTAATTCAATTAATTAAATTTAAGGACTGACCTCCCAGCCCGTTGTTCTTTCAGTGGGCTGGTTTCAGTCATTATGCAAATGTACTGTTTATAAGATTGAAACCTGCAGTCAGCTGAGACTGAAGACGTCACCTGGATGAGTGACGAAATGTTTCTCCCACAAAACGCTACGTCCAGATGAACAGAATCAACTTTTGGAGATGTTGCTTCTTGGCTCTGCTTTTGTAAAGGAGAGTGTGAATGCTCTAATCCAAGTGTTAACGACCAAGTGGACGTCAGCTAAAAATATAGTGGTTTAATTTGAGTGATGTAAGTAGGTCATAGCGGTGGCATCTCTGTGGCTGGAGATAAGTTAATATGGGCGTGCCAAAACTGCAGTTTTTCTAATGGCAACTTGAAGCTGACTTTAGAGATGACTCCCATCAGCATCAACTCTTTGGATGGGCTTCAGAGGTCCAGGCCCACCCAGTAAAGTCTCACTAAAGTAAGTTAAACTAATTCACGCAATTTGCCCATAGCGATTCAATTAAATATATATTTATTGAATTCATTATTATTTGATCAACAGTAGTTCTGCAGCAGTCGTAATGACGAGCATGACAAAAGATGACACTGAGTGGATGGGCCTGTGCAACTCTGGGAAGTACCTGTCACATCTCTTTGAAACTAAAAAGAGGTTAAAGTACGACCCTACTTGTAATTGCAAAACACAAAAACTGCCTCAGCCACCTGAGATTTTGGAATATTTTGAAATAAGTGACTTGAGCTGAATGTCCCCTTGTCAAAGCTGGTTGCCCGTCCAGTTCATATGGTTTGTTGTCAATCATGACTCCCATGAAGAATTGTTGAAGTCTTGTAAAAAAAAAAAAAAAAAAGCTAAATTATTAGCTAAATCGTCCCTTCATAGCAGTTATACAGAGTTGAACTTATTTCTTAACTTTTTTGTCAAGGTTCAAAGTTAATATTGTGACTGTTATTATTGAAAGATGTACTAAAACAGGCAATTATGTGATAAATAACATGGTTTCCTAATATGGTCACTTCTGGCTCAAGTAGAACTAGAGATGGCCCGATACCACTTTTTTATGCTCGATACCGATACCGATATCATAAATTTGGATATCTGCCGATACCGATATGAATCCGATATAGTGTTTTTTAATCAATAAAACTGTTTTTTTAATATCTTGCTGCATTTTGTTTAAGTTCACACTCAAGTTTAAATAAACAACAACACTAAAGCTATTCTGTTATACCTGTAT